TTCCTTCCTGTTGTTACCTTTTCACTGTCACGAAGTGTATATGTTTTTTCTTAGCACAATGCATAACTGCTAATAAAATACTAATGCGTAATTGCATTTAATATACTAAAGGTGTATTTCTCTAAAATGTGTTAGAGAGTAAAGATTATTATTCATTCAAAAAAAGAGCATTAAATGGTATTTAGATATTCTTGATGACTAAAGTAATTACTGTAACTTTAATCGATTGAAGACATTTATGATGGAAATATAAGAAAGATTTATTTATAGCTGAGGGTAAAAATGAGAATAATTTGTGGATTTTTTTCTCGTCAAAACTTCCAGACTCCATGAAGTAATTCCTCAGACGCACATGAGAATTATGATCTTTAGTTTAAGGAACCGTTCTGTAGAGAAACATTGATTAAAAAAATGAAAAAAACCTTATTCTTCAGTTAAATTAATTAGTTAATTAACGAAGCATCATACTGTAATATATTTTGCGTCGCTCTTATGATTAATTTCATATTCGAAGAGTTGAGACTATATATAAGGGCCTCAATAGTCCAAGATCCTGGACTCGTTGCTTCAGTGTCATGAGTTCGAGCCCTAGTGCCACTAAGATCTGCCGTGTAAAGGGGTTGATGCACGTTAAATCTGTCGATGCTCAAAAGTCTCCCATTGTGGCATAGAGTGAAAATTCGGAGCTCAGATGTTGACCATGATTGAAAATTACAAGTTATGTTGTGAATAGCCATCGTATTGCTTTATAACACGACATTAATAAACATTTACTCACTCTGACTTTGATGTCTAGCACTTTTATGTTGATCTACTCTCTGTAAGAGAGCTTTAATGCTGTGTTTCTCAAACTGTGGGGGGTACTCCCCTAGGGGGTGTGATAACTCTACGAGGGGGGTGCGAGCATATTGAAAAGTCTGAAAAAATATTATTTAAAAAAATAACTAATTTACTGAAATTAAACAAAATACATTTTGACATAATAAAAAATGAAATGCGCATTTACACTGATATAATACATTTATAAATATATCAGCACTGAACAATGTAATTTATAATTAATTTAACAATACTAAGTTAAGAACAAGTTTAATAATTACAAGTGATCCCTTGGACTTGTGATGTATAAAATTGAATTCAAAAATTAACACTTAATAATTGGTACTGTTTATAATTAATCCCTTCACTGCTGATAAAAAGTAAAGCAATTCGCTCCCTAATTCCACCGTTTACGTAGGCACGCGTATGTGATGCATTGGGTGGGAGGGGGGGAGAAAAGGAGCAAATAAGCAAATCCTCTGAAATAAGTAAATCGTTCCCAAACACTAACAATGTATGTTAAAGCCTTCGAAATAATTTTATGCATAGCAGTGCACAGAAAAGATCGTACTTAGGAAAGACGTATATATACGCCCGAGGCAACTAAGTTTTTGGCTAGGCGAAATATTTATATACGCCAGTGGCACTAAAGAGGTTTTAGTCGTATTGCAGCTTTAGCTTTAAAGTATAGTATTATTGAATACAATACATTGTTATGGTATGAAAGGGGGCTCGATGAAAATTAGGATTGAATATTGGGTCGCAAATATTGAAAGTTTGAGAAGCACTGCTTTAATGCAGTGGCGTAACGTTCACTCCCACAACCCCCGCATTGCGGGGGAGGTGCAAGGACTCTAGGGGGCCCAAAAAGACTGACCCTGAGTACACATTTGGGATTAGGGCCCAAAGCCTAACTTTACAGGGGGCTAATATTCTCCGTTAGGCCACTGTTTTAATGAATATCCTAATCAATAAGATTTAGGGATAAATTACGCATTCCTTATTTTGCATTTTATTTCCAACTTGATATCAAAATAATTTTATAGTTTGTCTTTTTTTAGATAATAGTAAATAAATTCAAAATTTTTAACTAAGATTGTTAGACGTTATATTAATGAGAGATCAAACACATTATGAGAGCATTAAGGCAGTCAATATAAAACTTTTCCTATTTGTACTACTAAAGTGAAATTATTATTCCTTGATTCAGAAAATAAGAGGAATCAAAATTTCCTGTATACCTTTATTTTTAATTCTAGGAGGTCTTGTGTGTCGGTAGCAGAAAATCAAACGTAGATGTTTCACATTCATTTTAATTATTTTCCAGTCCCAGGTGTTCTTTCGAATGTTTTAAGTTGAGTTCAGATTCTGATCAGCTCAAGTTTCAGCTCCTTCCAGAACACCATAATCTTTTCTGAAAATATTAACAGAAGTTTAAAGTCATTAATTTGTTTCAAAATATATAATCGTGGAATTTTTGTTGTATAGTAAAAAAAAAATGTCGTACATAAGATATAAAATTTTATGTTAACAACAACAAAAAAAAGCTATTTATAGTAATTACATTATAGCAGGAATATCCAATATTTTATTGCGGGAGTTAAAAAAAACAATTCAGTATGAAAAAACACAGTTCTTTTTTTTAAAATATAATTCTAAATTTATTCAGAAATTTTATAATATGAGATAAAAAAAATAGTTTATAGATACATCTGTATGTCTGGAGCACCTATAAGAAAAGACAGAATTATAATTACTTAAAATGTCAATTGAATCTTTCGTACAATAAAAGCATAAATATAAAAATTTTGTTGATCTTTAAATTCCCTACATGATTACTATTAATGCATTATTGTTTTGAGAAGCAATGCATCTTTATTCAAAATTATACACGACGATTTTATTATTTCATAATATTTAATTGCAGCTTTCTACTTTTTTTATGTCACTGAATTCAAAATATTTATCTAATATGTTAACTTATTTGAATTCATTAATGACTGTTTCTTTTTAATTTTCATAAATGATTAACATTGAAAAAATATATACGACTTTTGTTTTGTATAGAAATGTTCATTTTAAAAGTGCTTCATTAAATACAAAGAACAATGTTTCATTTTAAGAAGAGAGAGAGAAGAGAGAGAAGAGAGAGAGAGAGAGAGAAGAGAGAGAGAAGAGAGAGAGAAGAGAGAGAGAAGAGAAGAGAGAGAGAGAGAGAAGAGAGAGCTTCATGAGAATTTCTATAATTATAAAAATTTGTTTTTTCATTTTTTTAATGCATAATTGCAGCTATTTTTAGGTACATGCTTCTTGTTCATACAAACTACTTCAATTTTATAATTATTTATTTATCCCTCCCTCTTTTACAATCCTGTCCAAAATTTTGTTAAACATTGCCTATTGTATAATGGATAACGTTGTAAATGTAAAATTGGTTGTAAGATGTTTATAGACTTAACTTTTTGTATTGATAAGTTTTAACATAAATATAATTATTTGTAGATATCTTTCATAAAAAATGTATAGCTTCCATATACTATCAAAACCATAAATAATACACTCATGGACAAAAAAAAATTACCGCACCAAGAAATAGTTGCGGGATCGTAACGAAACTTGGCATGAAGGTACATGTTGGGGAGATATGCAAATTATCAGAAATGCAGCGTGATTGCGCATTACGTACAGCCGGTAGTGGGCGTTTAACTTCATTCTCCATGGAGTACAAAACAGGTAAAACCAAAGTTTGTTTGAGTGTGCTGAATCGCTTACAAAGCAGAGCTGAGGTAGACATGCAATTACGCCGTCTTCGAAGACAATATGAGGAGCTGTTGTAGTTTGAGAGGAGGAGAATTATCGGCATGATGAAAGCTGATCTTTAGCTAGGCGAGTAGCTCGTCAATTAGGCCGTTCTGATTGTGTTGTGAGGCGGTGTTGGGACCAGTGGATCCGAGAGATGTCATTTACACGAAGATCAAGCTGAGGACGCCCTCGATAGACCAGTCATCGAGAAGACCGCCACATCGTAAGAAATGCACGCGTACAAGCGTAAGACGCTCACCGGTCGCCATCCAGGCACAGGTAGCATCATCACTAGGGGCTCCTGTGTCTTCTCGAACCATACGAAGGCGCCTGGCTGAAGGACATTTGGGATCGTGGCGCCCATTACGTGTGCTGCCCTTGACGCCAGCCATCGACGCCTCCGTTTGGAGTGGTGCCATGCACGAGGAAACTGGATTGCAGTGGAATGGAACCAGGTTGGCTTTAGCGACGAATTTAGATTAAATCTCAGCAGTGATTGCAATCGTGTTCGTATGCGGAAACCCCGTGATGAACGCCTCAATCCTGCCTTCGCTTTACAGCGACACACCGCTCCCACAGTTCGTGTGAAGGTATAGGGTGCCATTGCCTAAAATACATTGTCACCCCTAGTATTTAACCACGGCACCATGGTAGCCTAGCGGTATGTCCATGTCATCCTTCAACCACATGTGTTGCCACTCATGCAATGGCTCCTAGGAGCTATTTTTCAACAAGACAATGCTCGACCACACAAAGCAAGGGTGTCACAAGACTGTCTCCTCACTGTTGTTACCCTTCCTTGGTCTGCCCGATCCACAGATTTGTCTGCAATCGAGCATATCTGGGATCATTTGGGACGGTGAGTTGAGAGAACGTTTGAACGAACTAGAGGCAAGGTTACAGCAAATATGGAAAGAAATGTCTCAAGACATCAAACAGAACTTGCATGTCTCAATGCCCGATTGTATCGCTTCATGCATTCGCGCTAGAGGGGGTTCAACAGAGTATTAAATCCTCCGTTCTTTTGCTTTTTTCTCTGCAATGAATGATCCTTTTTCTTTGATTTTCTAATCATTCATTTTTATCAAAGTAGTCATTACGTATGTAAAATTTCGTTTCATTTTGACGACTCCTTTTTGGTGCGCTAATTTTTTTGTCCATGATTGTATATATTTTTCAAATTTTCAATCGTTAATAAAATACTTTTTTTCATCCATTCAAGTTTAAATACATTTTTTAAACTTGTAATCGATGACACGATGTTTACAGTTTTAAATTTTAATTCATTAATTAAATTAAAAATGAATTGATAGTAACACACACACAAACCCCAAAATAATAGTCCATCAGCATATATAGAAAGGCAAATCGTTCGTAATGACCCTGTTGCGCACTGGATAGCGCGTTGGACTTCTAATCCAAAGGTGTAGTGTTCGAATCCTATTTGGGATGGCCTAATTTCTGAGAATGTGATTTCTTTCTTACTATATTAATTTATTAGAATAATATTAAATTTAATGAATGAATATATAGTAACAAAAAATAGTCCAACACTCTATATAGAAAGGAAAATCGCTTTCTATTTTGTCACTTAATAGAGTGGTTCTGTCATATTTATATACATATTAATATTAATTGTAACTACTTAATAAAAAGTAACTGAAATAAAATATCCCTTTGTTGACCTAAGTAGAAATTGACTTTTTTTTTTTATATGTCTTGTTTAAATACTAAAGAGTCCAATTTCAATATATCTGTGCATGTTATTCACGATTAAAATTTTTATATAAGTACTATTACAATCATTAACTATAACTGATAAAAAATAAATAATCCAAATATGAGAGATTTGGCTATAAATTAAAAACTACTCATGTTCAACGCTTGGTGCGTTTTTACTGGGAAGAAAAGTATCTTTTCAACTCTATATAGAAGCAGCACAAATATCAAAACAGAGCGGCTGCCTTTTAGCAAAGTCCATTTTGCAATGAAAATTCCCTGACATAAACGATAAGCGAGTTTCACATCAATAAATTTCCGCTCTCTATTCGTCTGAAAATGATGAGACAAAACGAATTTAGGCATGGGAAAGGAGCCTCAAAAGAAAATTAGTGCTATATATTTTCTTTAAACTAGCAGTGACTACCTTCCAGGTTATTAAACTCCCCACAATATTTCTGAAGGGCAAGATAAATAGGCAAAATAGTTTTTTTCCCCCATGATTTCATTTTCAATGAGCAAGAAAAAATAAAAGAAAAGTGCTTCGCTTCACTGGGTGGTGGCGCTCTACGTAAAGCGAAACGGACGGCATTCCAGATACACGCTTTCTGTTCTACCTAGAATATCAGAAGTGGTGGCACGCCCACGCGCGAGATCGATAGGTTGATTACCTGGCTCGTAGGCGGGTGATTGACTGAGGAAATTCTCGGTCACCATGGAGACGAACTGTTGAATGACAGATTCTACTTCTTGCCACGCCTATTACACGTGGTCGATATTTTCGCGTGATGTGTGTCCTACCGTATAGCAGCTTCAAAGATACGCTTTTGAGAGATAGAAAAAAAAAACAGAATGGGGTATAAAGAAAAGAAGCTAGCATGTCGTGAGTGTGTTTTGTTTTTTCGGATTTCCGAGCAATTGCACCTGACAGTTACCAATAGAAACGTGTTCCTTTGTTGACAAGGTGTTAATGCAGTGTTTGTTTGCATTCTTCAACTTTTTGTGTCTAAGGATTTTGTCTGTTACTATCTAGTCTTGAATAGTTTAACACTATATCTATAGTATTTTTTTCCAGTGGAGTAATTCGGATTCTCTGAAATAAAGATAAAGAAGTCACAGCAATATGAATATTATATGTATTCAAACTTTTTCTATTAAAAATGTAAAATAAATTTATGAATAACTCATGCTGACCTAAATTATTTTTTCCATAAAAAATTTCAGCAGCAACAACCATAAGACTATTATGAGACACAATGTAACAAATTATACGTCGTATAAATTTTGTTCAATTGAAACAGTACTAAATGTTTCAAATAGCTAAAAGTAGAAAAGCTAAAAAAGCTAAATAGCTAGTATGTTAAGAAGTAAATTATTGTTTCAAAACACTCAAACTTTACAATCATACAGTTTCTATTTATGGGTGTAGTTTTTTTTAAAAATAAATGAATCTACATGGAATATAAAATATCACAGCGCATTTGAAATATCATTTCATAATGTGTGTGTGAGTATTTAATACACTATACGAGTATAACAATAAAAAGATAACATGTATATCTATTTAACATTAGAAAGACTGAAACTTAAAACTTAGTACATACCTATATTGCCCCAAAGGAGTCAAAATGACTGCATAGTGAAAGAATGATTAATGTGTAAAGAAATTTGTTTAAAATATAATTAACTCTTTTTTACTATTTTTTATATTATTTACAGTCATTTAACAAGTTAGTGAGTATTAACAATAAAAAAAATTACTTCACTTGAAAAAAATATATATTCTAAAAAGTTCTAAGAAATTGCGCATTATACATGTAATGTTTTTCTAATTGAAATTAAAAAGCAGTCAAAATGACTTCCTTGGGCAATCTAGAGTTAAAGTAAATTTTATTAGCATTCATCAATTTCAAGATTTTTTTTTGAAAATGTAATACTATCATTGTTATAAATGATTAACAAATAATTATAGTTCATTTTCCCCTTCTTTTTTCGTTCAGTAGAACATATTTCATACACACACTAATAATAATATTGAAGCATATGTGCATTTCACGTATTTTCAAGCATGCATGTAAAACTGATGAATAAAATGCTAAGAAATAGCAATTGTTGCTAGTTTTGTAATATTAATTTAAACCGATTGTATTTTTGCTACAGAGGCGATTTACATTTCAATTCGTTTTTCAATTGAGAATTGTTATCAAGTATATTTATTATTCTGTGAAATCACACACTCTCACAAGTTTACTTTTCTTTTTAAAAAGCGTAAATTAATCCTAATAGAATGTTATTGTGGAGTATTAAGCAAAAATATGTTTGTGAAAAATACTATTACTAAATATTTTTGAAAAATGCAATACTAGATATTCGATCAGTGTGTTATAAATTTAGTTTACTGCATACACGTTTACATACTTTTAGAACACAATACTAAATATTTTATATTTATCGACCAATGCTATTTTCCTTTAAATAAATGAATATCATCACAGTTTTCTAAATTTTTTTGCTTTATCCCCCCCAGAAAAAAACATCTTTACGAACTTTTCCCACAAATTTGTCTGTGACTTATAATACAATCCTCATAAATTGTACCAGCACTTCTACAAAGGGTAGTTAATATATCTAAGTAGTAAGTAGTTAATATATTTTAGTTAATATATCTAAGCAATTTAAAGAGATGCCGTTTGGTACAGTTGTGGGTATAGTACCCATAGGGTTACGAATTTCGAACCGTATAACGGAAGCCTTTTCTTTGATATGGAAGAAACCACTTCACTTGAAAGCTAACTGATCCTATAAACTTCCCTTGGTACAACATAGAAATCAATTGAATATTAAATTCTGATGTTATCTTCATCATCTGAGGATTGTTAAAGCTCACTTCAGTTGTGTGCCTTAGCCAAAACAAATAAATAAAAATCAATAAACTTCCTGCAAAACAAAAAAGGGTTTATAAAAAAATTCGGACCCCCTCCAAAAATTTTCAGAAGCATTTTTATGCTTCAGAATGAAAACTAGAAATTATAAACTTGAAAGATCTCTTTTACTTGATAGGATATTTCTATGAAATCCATGGTCTCTTTTTTGCTTATTTGTATTCTCTCAAATTTAACCCAAATAAACAAAGTATTGAACTAAAATTTGATCCCCTTTCTAAGTACACATTGAATGGAATTTTCTAAATACAATTATAGAATTGAAATGCAGCACATGAATAATATCTTGTCTATGTGTAATTGAAAAAGCAAAATACTGCTCAGTAATTTAGTTAAGATACATAGAGAAAAAATCAGACATTTAACGGAGTTAGGTACATAAGTGTATCTGTAGTCTTGATAACAGGCAAGAATAATTACTTTTTTTAGTTTGTAGTTTCATTTTACAGAACCTTTTCTTAGGCAATTTATTTGTTTTTTATTGAATTTTTAAGTTATGTTTCTCATGTATTAATACTAATAAATTTTTAAAACAGAAATTAAACCTAATAAGTTTTAAAAACAATTTCATGTGTGTGTGAATGTTCTTTGATTACATACAAGTAAATAACTCCAGTCTTTAGTTATAGCTGAGATAACAAAGTTCAGTCACAATTCTGAAATTTATCTGCCGTCTTATCTCTCGTAATTCCAACAAAAAACCATTTCAATAAAAAAAAGATCAAAACACTAATTATGAAACGATTTTCTTAGTGACTATTGCAAAGGTTCCGTTATATTTTTCTAAATTTAGAATTAAATATACTATAATTCTCATCTATTAACTGTTAAGAGTTAAAGAAAACTAAGGATGGTAATTATGAATGCTGATAATTTTGCCTTCAAAATTAATATTCAGATATAATATTATTAACAAATTATGAAATAAAAGAAGAAAGTAATGACATTGTAAAAAGCAATATTAATCAAAATTGTATACTATCCATACTATCACAGCAAAGTAAAATATATCCTTTACCACTAAATGTTCATAATTATTATTTCTCTTTTTTTTAATATCCTAGTTAATGCATCAGAAATAATCATATTTTTACTGGAAACTTAATTTCAAAATATATTATTTAATTGGACAATTATTTGTTTTTATTCTGATCACTACTTGTCCATTTTAAGTATGATGAAATTTGAAATTTAAATTCAAACAATACTTCAGTAGCACAACTCTATTTTAAATCTTATTCTTCGTTTCATATTGGTCTCAATATTACTTTTCTCCCTTTTAATCACAGTTAATAACAATATGGATCAACTTTTTTTAAAAAAATTGGGAAGTTTTAATCTATAATTATTTATTTTTACTTAAGATAGTAGAGGAATTTGATTAAATTTTGTATGCATGCATATTAAAATATAAAGGAAGTAAAGCTTATCATGTCAAACATTTTATGCTCCGTGATAAGAAAAATGGAAAATGAAAAACACTGTTAAGTATGCATATTATATATAGGATAAATAGCAAATTTGAGACTTAACCTATAATGCATATTTAGGCTAATAAACTAAACTAGATGTTATATAGAGTGTTTGTGTGAGTATATTAAATTTTCCGTTGACGCACCACAAAAAAATACTTCCTTGACGATATATCTTAAAATCTTGAGTTACTGCCAAATTGTGAGGACGACATCTTAATTTTCTCCTTATACGATTAACTTTACACTATATTAAATAAGAACTATGAAGATCTGTTAGACATAATGTGCAATAGTTCTCACCTATTACCTCAGATGTAGAG